TTGGAAGATTTTGTGTAGATGTTTTGCTTTATCTTCAGAGCGTGATAAAAACTTTTACGCTCTAGCTTTCTAGCTTTCTGCTTATCTGGCTGTGAAAGCAGATGATTTATGTACCGTCTTCACACTTGAGTTTATGTGTTATTGCGATAAGGCCGGTGGGGTTGTGTGCGTGTCTGTGTGATGGTTTATGAGTGGTTATTGAGACCGCAGATTGTCGGACGGCCTACTGGAGGACACAAACAATCTTCCGTGGGAATGCAAAGTTCCATGAGTTCCCAATCCCTCTCCTTATCTCCAGCGTTCCCACATGAGTAATGCATGTTGTCCTCTGCACCATCTGACCACAGCACTGCTGGTGACCATTTGCAAACTGCATGCGTTTAGTTGCGTGCTGCAAGGTGCTTATAATGAACTACATCTGGGCAAAACAATTGATTGTCAAAAACATCAGAAATACATAAATAAAAAGCTTTTATCTTTGTGTTAACCAAGAGTGACAGACACAAGTGTGTGAAACGAATTGAAAGGTGGAGGAGGAGGAGGTGATGGTGTTGGGTGGGGTGTGTGTATGTGTGTGAGAGAGAGAGAGAGGACTCAACCTCAGGTTTTGCATACTTTCCAGTGTCTCTCATACACAGTTAGTATGTCAACACCGTGGTGTCCACCTGCCTGCTCACCTGCCAGACTGTTCGCTGGAATCACCTGGCTACACTCGGGCCCTGCCCGTGGGTGTGAACATGAGGCAGAATTTAAAAACAAACTGCTGCTCCCTAACTACAAATGACACACATCATTATTGTGTAGACATTTAGTCCGACACAAATAAAACCATTTAAATCAAACAACACGATTTTTGTGTTTATGCCTGTGAAGCAGCAAGATTTCATTTGAGTAAATAAATCGTGAACACTGCTGAACATCATACTCAGTGCATGTTTATGTTTAGTGTTTGTTCATTGAAAGATTGCTACTGTGAAAAAACACCCACTGTCACTAATGTCTTGGCACACACAGATACACACTTTTGGGTAGACGTTGGGGAAATTCCCAGTAACCTGCATGAGTAAAGGTGATTTGCGTATGCTCACTAATCTAGGGGGTTTGGCTGTAACTGTAAACCTACTACACCTGGACACACACACACACACACATACAGAGACATGCACCTTTGCTTCAAGACCTCGCACACTAATGGTCATTAAGTGGTTGAATGTGTGTTTGTGTGCGTGTGTGTATACATGTGCATTCATAAGCCAGTTTTACAATTCACCTGCTATTCTTTGACCGTTAAACATCAAGTGACTCAGACGTGCTGCAGTTAGCTGATTAAATCGCTCGCGCACGCATGGACACCGTTACAAATGCACGGCAATGAAAGAAACAGGGAGATATTTGAAAACACGTCAACAGCAGCAAGATGACATCATCATCTTTTTGACTTCCGATAAATTAGGAGAGTGGAGAAGATTATGTGCAGCAGATAAATCTAGTTAACCTGAGATAAGAAAAAGTAATCTAATAAGTTTGTTTGGTCTCGAACGCTTCTTGAAACGATTCCCTGATTTACATTAAAGCACGACTCCCCTGGATGTAAATTCTTGAGCACGTTGATGGATTGCCTCATCGTATTTAGCTTTCTCCAGTTTCCTGTAACACATTTCAGGTCCAAAAACACAAATTGTAACACCTACATTTTCTAGTAAAGCAATAATTCGTAGATTTCGCCCACCTGTGCAAGTGTGTGTGTGTGTGTGTGTGTGTGTGTGTGTGTGTGTGTGTTACTGAGTGCAAGGGTCCAATGTCTCTCTGGCCTTATCGCCTTGCCTGAATGCTCCAGGTGCAGACTGCCCTCTAAGATCTCTAACCGTCAGCTATAACACTGAATGCTGAGGGTTTTTCCGAACACGTTATCAAGTCCTTTTGTGAAGCTCTTGTGACAAAGAATCATTCCTACAACTGCAGCTACAACTATTTCTAACCTTAAACTTTTCATTCAACACTTTTGCACAACTGTTCTTGCAGATAGCAGTAATGTCACAGTTCTGGGTCAGTTTGAGTATTTTGAGTTATGTTTTGGTTTATTTTTGAATGATGGATTGTTCTTTATGTGTCTCTGGTGCTTTGTTGGGTTTTATGATGAATCTGCATTTCAAGTTACTTTGGTGTGTTTGTTTTCTTATTCTCTTAGTGCTTGTGATGATGTGTGTTCAGTTCATGTTTTCGTTTATCACCAGCAGTAAAGCTAAGGTTCTCAGTTTCAATTCAGTCTCAGAGTCTCGCATTTGGATCCTCTTCTCCATCCGCCTGCACACAGAGCCCTGACAAGTAATGTCTTTAATAATCATGCTAATTAGGAGTGGTACTACTGTGGACACTGACACGTCTTTAACACGCTGCCTCTGACTTTTACTGCAACCTCTGCAGTCACTTTCATTTCATTTGTGCAGTGTTATGGATGCAGACGGGGTAAAACAAATCTGACCTGGCGATTGCTCTTATCTGCTCTTTGTGCCAAGAGATACACCAGAACACTTTCAAATCTGTACAGCTGACTTTTCCTTTTCTTTCCTTCATTAGTTTTTGTGTCTCTGAGTGAAATATAGACTTTCTGTTGAGCACATGTTGCAAAGCAAGCTCCTCGAATCTGCAAGCTGTTTTTTTGTTTTTGGTTGTTGCTGTAATTTCAAATTTTTTATGAAGACATGGGTGGTTTTGTGTATAAAGATTATGCAACATCTGTCAGCAATTAGCAGCTTGTTTTCCTCTCAGCTCGATTATTTGAGTGCCTGAAAACCTGCATTTCTGACTTTAACTGACTTAAACTCTAAGCATTTATCTCACGGTGCAGTTGCCAAACACATGAAACATGGAAAAATAAAAGTATCACAGGTATAAGTTGTACTCTCATCAATCAACCAAATGATTGATGAGAGTACAACTAAGTAAAACTGAATCAGTGTACGCCCCATGTTGCTCCTGAGATGAACTTTGACCTTATAAAAAATACAATTAGCTGGTTATTTTATCTTTTTAGGAAATTGCGTGAAAGTTTGTTTTAATTGGTACATGAACTCTTACATATAATGGAAAACTTTTTTGTGAGATAGATAGATAGATATAGAGATAGATAGATAGATATAGAGATAGATAGATAGGTAGATAGATATAGAGATAGGTAGAGATAGGTAGATAGATAGAGATAGATATAGATATAGAGATAGATAGATAGATAGAGATAGATAGGTAGATAGATATAGAGATAGATATAGAGATAGATAGATAGAGATAGATAGGTAGATAGATAGAGATAGATAGATATAGAGATAGATAGAGATAGGTAGATAGATAGAGATAGATATAGATATAGAGATAGATAGATATAGAGATAGATAGATAGAGATAGATAGGTAGATAGATATAGAGATAGATAGATATAGAGATAGATAGATAGGTAGATAGATAGGGACGTGGTCGTGGGATCTGTAAGCAAATATTCCTCATATATCCTTCTTCATTATAAAGACCACAGCCTACTCTGTCATTTCTTTCTCACTCGTGGTTGTACTTTAATTTGACTGGAATATACTGTCAGCATCCTGAGAGTTGGGATCACATGCGTTAGGTATGGGAAATACTGCTGATCTTTCAAAGAAGATATGGCTCCCCCTCGCCGGACAGGTTTTTCTGGACTGATTCTCTATTGATTTAAAACACGCACGTGTCCCTGTTGCAACACCTGAATAAAATAAACAGGTCATTACCAAAACTGTAGAACTTGACTGCATGCTGAGGTGGCGACCCCTAACAATACTCAAGTAAATCTAAATAAATGTAAGTAAATGTAAGTGTTTGGACAAATGTACTTCTAAAAGTACTTTTATTGCATATTTATGTTTATGTTCATTCACTCATGAGATGCTGTAACA